ACATTGTTTAGTGTGTGGTGTCCCTGCCTACGGCAGGGGGGTTGGAACTAGATGATCTTAAGGTCCTTTCCAACCCTAACTATTCTATGATTCTATGACTACAGCCATTTGACCTCTGTGTACTCAGTTCTCAGTCTTCAGAATATCGCAGAATCACGTAGTCATTTAGGCTGGAAGGCACAAACTCTTGAGGAGTTCATTTCCCCTTGGTTTTAATCTTTTCTCTGCAAAAAGTGTAAATTCTTCGTGGTATGGGGCTGTCTTACGTTATGGGGATATGCACTGCAGATTCTTAGGGATGGGTTTGAGTTGATGGGTGCTAACTGCAACTCAGGACCAGGGAGAAGTAGAGTGGAAGAGAAATAGAAAACAAAGATTTTAGAGGCAAAAAAAAAAGAAGTTAAAGTTAAATTAAGGATTCATCCAAAACCTCAAGGTATTTGGCTTTGTGCTTTGCACTTTGCTAAAAATCTGGACTTTTTTCCCAGGTTACGTCAATATTTCAGGTACTAAGTAACCATGCAGTTGCAACCATGTACAGCAATACAATACAGCAGTCCAGGAAAGGAAGTGCAGAATATTTTAATATGACCCATTCTAGTTTATGAAATAACTAACCAAATCTGTGAGTGCTTACTTAGCCTGTGCCCAAGGAAATTTCACTTGAAAAAAGATAAAAATTAACAAAGAGCTTTGAAAATTGTCCAGACACAAGTCACAATGCTGTTAGTGGGATTTCTTAAATACTTTTCTAAACAGTATTCTCTGCATGAGGACAGAAACATAAAAATAACAAGACAAAAGAACTAAATGGTAGAAGGAGCTCAACAGCAGAGGGTTTGTTGTTAATAATCAGAGCTCACAGCTCTTCCTTAATAGGTTTTCACACACAGTTATTCTCCTTTGCACTCAACAGACCAAATTAATTTGTTCTGTATCTTCTCCAGCAGTCAGTAAACAGGGGATTAAGTTCTTTCCAGTTCAGCTGTGGTCTACATTTATTTTGTACTGGTCCAGTGCACCAGCACTCTCCCCTGTCTGCCTAATTTTATGCTTTGTGATGCCACCAGATCCTACGTTATGGAGCACAGACCACGTACGCCAGTGGCTGGAATGGGCGGTGAAGGAGTATGGTCTCCCAGATGTGGACATCTTGTTGTTCCAGAACATCGATGGGAGGGAGCTGTGTAAAATGACCAAAGACGACTTCCAGAGACTGACCCCAAGCTATAATGCAGATATCCTCCTGTCACACCTACACTACCTCAGAGAGAGTAAGCTAGTTTTCTGTCATTATGGTAGTGGCTACGATCAGTCTGTTGTTGATATCAGCCTTAGATTTAACGGTGTAGATACACTCAGCTGAGTTTTCAAATGTCTGTTGCAAATTTTGCTGTTCCTATGAAGCCTGATCCAAAGCCTTTTGCGTTTGATGGAAAGATACCCATTAATTTCAGTTGACTTTCACTCATGTTCCTTGAAGAAAACGGAATATTTCTTCATGTCCATCTCAGAGAAAAATCAAATTGAAACCCAGCATATTTATCAGCATACCGTAGGAAGAAAACCATATGGGATTCAGTGCTAATGTTTTTTCTGGTCACATACTCGTTTCTTTCCATATTAACAATGAGAATGCTAAATGAGAGTGCAAACAGTGATTTATAAAGTGAATTCCAGGCATGATTGTAAGGGTTGACAGCAGTTTGCTCTACTCTGAGTAGGATCAGGAAGATTTCACTGAATTGAATAAAAGTTCTGTAAATTCATGGAAAAAAGGAACAGTCCCTGAAGTCCAAATGCAAATTGCTTATAGTGCGTGGCTAGCATTTCAAAGGGAAAGAGGGGACTAGTGAATTTCTGGCTTGAGGGCTTTCATTTAAGCTTGAGGAAATTTTGCAGGTTTGCCTCAGTTTAAAGAAGTTAAAGCAAACATGGCTTTTCAAAGGAAGGAAAAACAAGCATTGCAACACCAGTGCGGTGCAGTCTTCTCCACACGCACACTGTCAATACCAGTCAGAAATATGCATTCATAATGTTGAATACATGAATGCCCTAGTTTAAGCTGTAGCGCACACGCCTCCCTCCAAACTGCAGGCTGAAACCAACTGTCAGTAAACTCGCATTCACACAATCCTGTCAGGGGAAAATATGGTTTAAAAAGATAATTCACAATTTTTTTTTCATTTTGGTGTTGCTTTTTGTTTTGTTTTGTAGCTCCTCTTCCACATTTGACTTCAGATGATGTTGATAAGGCCTTACAAAACTCTCCACGGTTAATGCATGCTAGAAACACAGGTAATACTGGCACTGCTCCCATTGCTACAGGTCATCTTCTAAAAGCAAAAAATTCCTTTTAATGGGTTGCTTGCTAAAAGTGGAAATGGTAAATCAGGAGGGAGACAAGCGTACCCTCTCCTTGATGTGTGTGTGAGTTTTATGAACAGACACACAGGAAAAATGTGAGATCATGCAGGGCCAGATGGTGCAAAAATGGTCTCCTTACTGGTATTTCTTGTGTTCTACAAGAGAATGGGGTCCCTGACACAAGATAAGTTGCAGGCTCGGAGCCTTTGTCTCTGAGGAGTTTTTTTCTCATTCTGTCTCATTGTACTGTCAGATCTACTCATGGATCCCTAGAAGGCTGTTGGAGCTCAAAAGTGCTTCAGCGCTTGCCTAAGTGTTATGGGCTCTGTTGAATGGGGACTGTCTTCCCTCCCATGCAGTTTATATATTGTATAATTCAGTAAAATTGATATTTAGGCAGTTAGCTCATCTCGTTTGCTAGCGATATGGGACTTGAACTGGAAACTCCACTAAGTTTGTTGTAATCTCCACTAAGTCTGAAATAAATATTCAGCCTTCTGTTAATTTGGCCCAGGAAAGTGTTGAGTGTAGGTAGGAGAATGATACAATACATGCCTCTTTCAGAATGTGACTGAAAATATTTATGAAAATAATTCAGAATACATTTGATCTTGCTCTCACAGTTGTGCGACAGAAGATGGCATGGAATTGTATACACAGTATGATATACATACTAATTAAAAATGTTTGGAATATTGCATAATCATGCCTGAGGGTATTAGTTACCAGCAGTGACCAGAAATAACAGTTCTTTATAAGAAATGAAAAAGATAATACAAAGAATAATAAAAATCCAAACAAACAACAAAAAATAAAACCACAATAACAAACAAACAAACAAACAAAAACAGAACAACAACAACAAAAAACCCAACCCCCCCCCCGAAAACTTAGATTGTGATGCCTCTTTCATATTTCATTTAGTTTTTCACTGTGGTAAATAGCAGTGAGTATCCCAGCAAAATTAACTAGATTAGAAGATCCCTCCCTGAGAACAGATGTTTGCCACTTGACATGAAGTCCTACTGTAAGCTGTAGACCTGCTGCAAACCCCACCAAAATCAAATTATTTTTTTTCCATTGACTTTGATGGTGTTTGAAATAAGCTTTAAGCTCTTTTTAAAAATAGATGGACTTGATGGTCTTTTACATCTCTGGCTTTCCAGATTCTAATTCGCGACGCAGTTTCAACATACAATTATCCAAGTGTTGTTCAGCAGTTCTGTGTGTTATCTTTTTCTATATGTGTGCACTGACAATGATATTTTGAAATTCATTTCAGCAAAATGAGATTGCCTGCATCTCTGTTGGAAGTTTCATTGGGAGTGTAAATAATATCATGCTGCTCATCAGCATAAGGAAAATCAGTTGTTCCTTTGGCATAAGATCTTTGGAGTGGGGTTTTCAAAGGATCTGAAAAGAGCTAGAAAAAAGTTCCTGAAGTCAGCAGTAACTGCACAAATCCATATGACCCTTTTCATGTTCTTAGAGATGTTAATGTAGAAGTCTGTTAATGTAGTGAGAGCAGTTTCAGTGTCTGAGATGAGATACCAATTTCTGTATTAAGCTCAATATTTTTATTTTCTTTCACTCTGTGAAGAGAATGGGATTTCTGAGGGTCCGACCCAAAGCCCACCAAAGTCTTTGAGAAGATTCCCACAGACATCAATAGGCTTTGGCCCAGACCTGCAGTCTCTGTTGAAAATATGAACCTGTTTGGGAAGTGCATGCACTAATGAGAAGAAGGCAAAGAAGTTTTATTTCAGAAAATATGAAACCACTTGCCCAGGTGGAGATGATTGTGATGAAGGTAGAAGGGATTTCCTGAACTTGACTGTCTCCTCCCTTAATGCAGATTTTGTAGACTTTTATCTGGTAATTTGAATGGATTTATGGAGGTGCAAAAGCTATTGGAATAAACTTTTGTATATAATAGTCCTAAAATAGAAATTAGTCATTCATCGTCTTCATTCAGACATACTACGAGAGGGAAAATATCAGTTGACTTAGGGGCTGTGAATATGAATCTTTAGGTGTTATGTCATCTTCTTTTTCTTTAGGAGGTGCCACTTTTATTTTTCCCAATACATCAGTTTATCCAGAAGCAGCACAGAGAATTACAACCAGGCCAGGTATGAACAATGACCACCTTTATGTATGCTGTGATCTTATTCATTTCATTCCTTCAAAAGAATGAAGTATCTCATTCTTTTTCTCATTCAACTCTCTTTGCAGAAATATTAGACTATATTTTAAATACACATATATATTATATATATAGTATATATATGTGTATGTACCATTGTGTAGAGTGACATAATTAAATAGAGCTGTTTAATAAATCTGTTTCTTCTACATATCATCTCTGTATATGAAGCAATGCTATCTACTATTTAAAGCACCAGAGAATCACAAGACCTGAGCTCTATTCACTGATACTGTAGCACTGTCCCAGCACAGTCACTTTTCAATGTGCTTCAGCTCTCTGTCTGTAAAATGAGTCAAGAATACCCTCTTTTATAATGCTATTTGAAGTATATTGGGAAGAAGTTCTCTAAAAATGCTATCTAGTTTTTATTTATGTTTGAGGCAAACAAACTCCACAAGATCTGCCTGTGAGTTTAAAAGATTCAAGTGAAAACATAAGAAAATTCTTACTGTTCAGAAGTTTGAAGCCCATGGAAGTGTGCTGGTATGTGAAAGGCTAAAGGGAATAAAAAAGATGAGGACATTGCTATGAAGCTAAAAATTTTCTTAATATCACACTTCACCTCTAAAGATTCTGGAAAAATTACTGATCTGGACATTTGCTTTCCCATTAATAACTGCAGAGTACTGTGAGACATCAAAAGGATTTGCAGCAAAATCCAAAATTTAAAGGAAATTCATTACTGAGCCAGAGTCATACATCCAAGTGTACTAAAGGGACACTTGAATTGACTGAGCTCTTGTGAAAAGATACATTATCTCATTAAAAACACAGGGGGTTTTGGATAGCAAATATTTTATATATATATATCTTTTGTCAGTGCTCTAGGGTATAATCCAGGACAATACATATAAGTAACTATTTTATATACACTTGTATATACTTCTCTGTAGATTTGTTAATTGACAATTTTAAAAAGATAGATAGAGAAGGAGCAACCAGAGTATTACATGACCAAATTAGAAGGCGCCATGGAAATATGGAAAATCTTTCGAGCATGTTGAAAGATACAATAAATTTAGAATTGTTCAAGTCAGGGTCTGGGGATGAGGAAACAGGATATAATTATCAAAATAAAGAGTGTCACAGAATACCTGCTTAGCCTCAGTATTAGAAGTAAGGATATTCAAAAAGAAGTTAGACATTTTCATGAAACATTAGAGCAGTTAGTTTTCTCTGAAGTAAAAATTTCTAAACCACATATCAGACATAGTGAACTCCTTATTTTCATTATTTTTGTCTAAATCACATTTACAGTGATACTTACAAAACTAAGTGTTTTATGTCAACATCTTCCTGTGTTTACACAATTACATGTAAGAGTTGTAGTTTGGATGTAGGGTGTCTCTATTCTTCTGTGTAAAATCATATATCCTAACTAAACATTTCTTACAACAAACTACAATGTGATTTTGAAAGTATTATTTTATCTTTTACAATTGAAAGTTGCCAAACATCTCTAAACTCAGAATTTTCATTCGTAAAGAAAAAAAATCTTTTTTGCAGAGTTTCAGTTTTCTCTCAAGAAACTGTTTTGTTGGCTTAGTCTGTGGCTTTCCTTTTAGTTAAATGTCATATTTCAACTAGACTGCAAAGCAACTTTTCCATTACAAAGTAAGTTCCCTTCATGTGAGAGCAATGGCAAACCTCAGGGACGATCACTTGATGACATGAAAAAGGTCAAAAATGAGGGGTGGGAATACATAATGTTAAATGGGAATTAGCCAAATCCTGGTAAGCAATTCTGGAGAAAGTATTTAAGCATTGCCATTGTTAAGGCATTACAATAGAAAATAGGAAATGAGCAGGGCTCATAATCAACTGCAGTGACAAAGGCGTATTTCTTCAGTCACCTTTACAACAGAACATGAGGTTTCAGCAAGCTGTAAGTAATACAATGAAGCTGTCAGGAGCTCAGGAAGACCTCGTATGGGTTTGTCTACAAGTCTCATCAAACAGGAGCATTCCTATCAAAGATCTGTCCAAGATAAGGACATATTGTACTAGTATCTCATGAATAAGAACAGATCTGCTTATCTAGGATAGCAACATATTTATCAAGACACAATCCTGAACTAAGAATGAAGTTGGAATTTGGTGCTATTTCAGGAAAGGCTGATTGATAGATGGATTTTTCTTTCAGTAGAGAGAGTGTAGACAGAAAACCAGAAGATGTGTTGAGTTAAAAGGCAAAAGTTTTCTCACAGTCCTAAATTTGTACCAAGTACATTTCAAGACTAGAAGTGCCACCAAGTACAAGCACACAGCATCACACCGCCCTCTCGGTGTACAGGTGTCTGATAATTTGGAGACCTACAAAAAGGAGAGAGGAAGAGCGATGCAGAGCAGAGCAAAGGAGACTTTTCTGTGGGGGGAGATAATGTCACCAGAATCTCCTTGACAAAGCTGCCATGGAGGTAGAGAACTGGCCAGCCAAGGCAGAATGGGTAGGACATATGCAGGCATCCCGCAGCTGAGCCCTGTACCCCTCTTCACAGGCAGAACTCAGAACCCCCTGAAAGATGACCAGAGTCATTCTAAATTATTTATTTTTTCCAGAAGATAAATTACTCAGGCCATGAGTTATTTCTAACTACAACAGTTAATAACAGTGCTGATGTCAGCCTGGTCAGGACAGCTGCATGTTACAATGATTCACTTGAACACCAGTATTCTGCTCAGAGATGAGCACTTGTACAATTCACATTATTTTCGCCAAGTTTCTGAAGGACAAGATTGTGGTATAGTTCTCAAGAAATCAGGGATAAAAGATCACTAGTTACTCAAATTCAGCACAAAGATAAATTGCATATCTCAGCAAAACGAAAGTTTTTGAAGTGTAAGATTCCATGAAACGACAGCGCTGGTAGTGCCAGTCTGCTCCACAAGCCAAACAGACTAAATAAATTAAAGGCAATTTGGTCGTGAATTTCACATTACACTTTATTTCCATTCGATATTTCTGCACTTGGAAATGGGCAGAGATACATCTGTTTTCACAGAGCCGGTCTGTGACTGTTTCTTTGCTTCATAACTGGTTTAATTTCCAAACATCATTTCTAAAATAAAGCACAAACATTGTTCAGAGCCAAGTCATCCACAACAACTTAGTACCAGGTGGGTACTGCTAACTTCCTAAGATCCTGGGCAGTCTACAGAAGTCTCTGATTTTGGCAGCAATTTTAGCTGTTGTGTTAAAGCTGTCTGTAGAAAAGCACAGGCAGTTGCAGAAGATTTCAAAGGCTAAACCAATCATTTTAATTTATTACGTATACTTTATGAAGACAGCTTTTGGTTTAGTTTATTCATTTTTATGTGCTAAACCATTTAAATGAAATAGAAGTGAAATGAAAGAAAAGGCAAACAAAAATTTAGATACAGAAAGTTAAGGAGCTTGTCCCAAGAAGCAGAAAGGAATATTTAAATAGATGAAGCAGAGAAAAAGCTATCCACTTTTTAGAAGAAATATAATATGTATGCATATATATGTTTAACATTTAAGCATATTTAACATTTAAGATGTTTTCACATCTTATGTTTCTAAAATCTGTGAGGATACTGGAGTGCGAAAGGAAAAGTGAAGGAAAAGTCTTCCAATACCTAAAGGGGGCCTACAAGGAATATGGAGGGGGACTTTTTACAAGGTCATGTAGTGACAGGAGAAAGGGGAATGGCTTTAAACTGCAAGAGAGTAGATTTATATTAGATATTATGAAGAAATTCTTCACTATGAGGATGGTGAGGCACTGGAACAGGTTGTCCAGAGAAGCTGTGGTTGCTCCATCCCTGACAGTGTTCAAGGCCAGGTTGGACAGGACTTTTAGCAACCTGGTGCAGCGGAAGGTGTCCCTGCCCATGGCAGGGGGGTTGGAACTATATGATCTTGAAGGCCCCTTCCAACACAAACCATTCTGTGATTATGTGAACATTAACAATTTGAAATTACTAGTAGAAGAGAAACAAGTGAGACTGGTAAAATGAAGCAATCAACTACCCAAAAGATTGCATTCTGAATGATGGTCTCTGTCTATGACCAGGTGGCAGAAAAGGGAACTGTCAAATTCAACCTATAAAGTTTGATTAATCTCAAAGGATGACAGCAGCAGACTTAGCTGAATGGCATGTTAAATGAACTAAAGTCTATCTATCTTGTTAAAAGAAAATACTGTTACATGCTGAGATTGGGAGGAAATGGTATACAATTTATTCTTAATCTGATCTCCGACCTCTTGGAGGACTTTTCCTGCAAGACTCTAGCATAAATTGTCCATGATGTACAGTGTGTGTCATTCCTTGGTGTTCCAGGCCGAGGAAGGGGACCAAAGGGAGTACTCTGAGCCTTTGGGAATTATGGACAGTATGAGTATTTTTACCAGCTATTTCAGTTCACTTCAGACATCTAACAAGCATAGGCATCTCTAAAGAGCAATGCAGAGGAAAATGTGATGCTGTTATTTTCAGAGGCAATAAAGACAATAAAGGTTCTTAACGAAGAATATCCTTCTTATTTCAGTATTTTTTTCAACCCTGTGACTCCCCTAGAAATGTGCCCCTCATGGACATATAAACTTTATTCCGTATCTGCATGAATCAGTGCATCTTTCCTTTGCAGACTTGCCTTATGAGCAAGCCAGGAGATCAGCGTGGACGAGTCACACCCACCCCAGTCCTCAGTCAAAAGGTAAAAGCATCTGCATATGTCTAGCCTATGGGCCTAATGCACATCTGGTGCAACCTGGATAGACTCTGAAGTAATAGGAGCTAACTCAGCATTCAGCTCTGGAAGATTTTTACCTGTGCCTTGGCTGGAAAGCATTTTGTCTCTGCATAGACAATACTGGGTGGAGTCACTGGGGCAGCTGCATTTTTCCTTGAACTCAGGCTTCATCAAGTCCCTGACCCTATAGTCTTATAAAGCTAAATCCTATTGTGACCATCATTGAGTGGTGAGCAGCAGGAGTCCCAGGCCTGTAATCTGTCACAGGTTTGGTGACCAACTTCCAAACTGGAAAAATAACTACATGGTTTTTCCATTTTCAGCTACTCAGCCATCATCCTCAACAGTTCCCAAAACAGAAGACCAACGTCCTCAGTTAGGTGGGTGTCATTTTGTTTGAATTATGCCTGGGTCTGATGGGGTTTGCTGGGCATGATGAGGACAGCTCTCCCCTACCAACCAGAAGGAAATTGCGATGTCTGATTCAGACCACTAGTGAGATCTCCAGCTGGTGGGCACTAGTAGCCAGATGTGTATGAGTTGGCTCTACAGCTGGATCTGAGATGAAGGCCACCATGACCACTGACAAATGCTTGTAGTGATGTTTAATGTCACTGATGACCTTGCAGAGTGTAAAAACTGTCAAACAAACTACAATGGTCTAGTGTGAGGCATCCCTGCCCGTGGCAGGAGGATTCGAACTAAATGATCTTAAGGATCATCTTACCATTCTGAGTCTATGAAAGGTGGAAGGTAAGGAGGTCAAAAGACCATATACTCTACAGTAGCTGAAATGCTAGCAGTTGGAAAATGTGCATGAGCAAGGAAATGAAAATGGATTACAGCATAGAGAAATTTATTTGGACTGGGCTTTGGGAAATTAAACAGGAAAATTAGAAGGATTCTCAGTCTATCAGGAAACTAAGGAGAAAGTAGAAGTTTATGACCTGTAAGTGTTCAAGGCCAGGTTGGAGGGAGTCTTGGGTGACATGGTTTAGTATGTGATGTCCCTGCTCATGTCAGGGGGGTTGGAACTAGATGATCTTAAGGTCCTTTCCAACCCAAACCATGCTATGATTCTATGATTCTATGAGTTTGTAGACTAGTGGTTTTGCAAAATTGGTGCATTTTCTCTTTTTGAAGCAGCTAATCCATGGGGTAGGACCTAGTCCTTTATTGTGAATTTGACTGTGTTTTGGACAGGTAGCTAGAAAGCTCTACAGACATTCTGAGTCAGTTATGGCTTTTGTTAATGACAGAAGGGTAGAAATGGGCAATAAAAGAGTTTTGGAGCCTGTTTTTATCACATGGATTTCAAATCATTATTCTGATTTTTTGTCATATCTAAATAAGACTGTGTGCATGACTACGTCTCATTAACTCATATGCATGCTGCCTGGGAAGTATTACACTGCTTTTTGCCCAAATAGCATTGTATCTAATCTGGCCTTCCAACCATGAGAATCTTTCAAGAAATATACTGATGATTTATGTAAGTCCTTAGGACCATTTAGTGGCTGTGTGTGAGCTGCACAGATTATTTAAATGTATAAGGAATGTAACCTTTTAAATATATAAGGAATGTAACCTGATTATCTTCTTGGCTGTAAAATGGGCAGCCATTTGAGAGCAGCTGTCCAGAGATGAGGCAGCCCAGTGATAGGGTCATTCAGCAAGACACTCCAGGCTGTGCTTGCAGCCATCACTTTGGCTTTTGTACTTCTGCCACAGCTTTCCCTTTTTCCTGTTGTACTTAAGGTTTCACTTCTGGATGGAATCCTTTGAGGAAAACATTGAGATGCTGTGGGCATTGCGTGGCTGACACAGGCTCTTCTGAAAACCCTAGTTGCAAAGTTAATACAAGGCATCCCTCGCTGGACTGCAGTGATACGGAAGAGTTGACCCAGCTATGTTCCCTGAGTTTACCAGGCACTGTCAGCCCTCTTCTTGAGGTTGTTTTGGCACAGAAGGAGTTAGCAGTGGTGCAGGGAAAATAAATGTGTTTTTACAAGAAAAGAGGCTACTGTCCTTTGCAGAGGGGACTTTATCCCATTACCTGTCTGCGCCTGTGGGCCCTGGTACACTGCAAGGATTGATAGTACCAAAGGGTTCCTGAGTGTATGTCTATTTAAGTAGAAATCAGAAGACCTCTGGGCCAAATTTATGATGCATCTGAATGTATGCTTGTGTGCACTAATACAGTACAAAAGGCAAATGTTTATCCTTGAAATTGTTCACTTGCACACCCAATTTCAAGGCAAAACACGCAAATATTGCAATGCTGAGAAAGGAACTGCTTTTTCCAGTGTTGGACCTGCTGTCCCATCAGGCAGTATACACTGCCCTTTACAAGGTTAAAAAGTAACACCTAAAATATTTGTCATCATTGCTACATGATTTTAAATCTTTTTTTCACCATTTTGTAGATCCATATCAGATTCTTGGACCGACCAGCAGCCGACTTGCAAATCCAGGTGAGGAGAGATTTTGCTGATTCAGGAGGATTTCTTTTCACTGCTAGTATCTCCACTTCAGTTTTAAGCCAAACCTAGAAGATAATGTGGTAGTTTTTACCACTCTTCTGTATGACTCAGTGGAAGCCAATGATACCCAGTGTGTTGCAGGATTAGGTTTCTAAATTAAGTGAGGGTGGGACTGAGGTCATAGATTAAGACACAGAAGGTCACGTATCTTACTGTAGGTGTCTACATATAAGATAGGTGTCTTATTTCCCATTGTATTCATTGGAGACATAGTTAATATAGCTCTCTGTAGAGAGCTATTCAAATAATAGCTCTCAATTCTTAAGTAGATGGTTACATTCAGTCACTCAAATACCTCATCAGAGGTATTTGAACTTCTCATATCAATAGGAGTTCACTTCAGTTGCGAAACGTCAGGATTTTGTTAAGTGCTATAAGATACCCCATCTGGCCTCCAGGTACCCCTCCAGAGGGGCATGAGTCTTTTACCAGTCCGCATCATATGTGTCCCAGATTCTGTTAATACACAATACAATGCCGTAATAACCCTGACAAATAAAAATTTTTGAGATTAATAAATTATATAGGGAGAAAAAACAGGAAAGCATAATCTATTTGCAAATAATAATTGAGTTAAACATTTAAAAAGTATTCTCCCACTTTAAGAAGGCAACAGGGTGCATTGTGGACAGGGGCATGGTGCATATTTTAGCTAAAGATGACGGACCTTCTTGGTGAGTTAATAACACCAATTGTGAACTGTGCAGATTTCACTGTTTCTGCTCTAAGCCCAGAGGACACACTATGGCTGTACACCACCAAAATCAACATCATAATCTGCCACAATGGATTGATGCTGTAAATCCACATCCTATTTCCCTTGCTTTAACAGCCATAGGACACAATGTTCCTTGTTCCACATTGCAGGTCTCCTCAATCGGCAGTAACAATGTGTCTTCTTACAACCATTGTATGGTTTTTCATGGCATGAAATTGCAAAAATACTCATCCATTTCCTTTCACTTTTTCCCAAGTGATATCAAGCACAGTTCTAGATTAGCTTACTTTGTAAATAGTTTTGTATGGCATAGGAAAGCAATTAAGTATTAAGAATAAAATTTTCCAAATGGCATAAAGCAGTGGGTTTCCAGATGACACTGATCTTAAATGGAAGTGGGGGCCTGCCTCCCTTTAATTTGTTCATAAACCCCAGCTTCTACAATTTTGTCAAGCATCCGTTTGGTAGACTTCATTACTGTGGAAGACACTAATATGATCTGGATTGGGATACTCTTTTAACATTTAGATGCAGAATTCCTGCACACCATCATTCCTGTGCTTTACCATGTTTTCTGTGTTTATAAATTGGTGGAATTACTCTCTCATTAAAAGGAAATTGACAGCAACCATTTATTTTCATAGGACTATATATTACATTTGGAAGGCAAGTGTTTATGTTAGAACATATGTTGGATTGCTTATACAAAAAGTTGTGTTTCGTCCAGTGCTGAACTGTTTATTGATTTTCAAAGACTAATCCTCTTGTTATGTTTTGTGTATTAAAACTTGCATGCCTTGCTCATACCATGGATTCTTTTGTTTGTTTGTTTACTTAATGCATGTTAATGGAACAGAAGAAATTCATTAAGGACAGTTTGGATAAATATCATTTAAAAGAATATGGGTTTCGGTTGCACTGAAGTATAAACTGCTAATGGATTTCAGATGCTACTCTATATTATAATTCGCTACTATAAGCTTTCTAAAGAAAAGCTTGTTTATTATACCCACATATCTGGTTTGGAAAAGAAAAAGAAACCTGACCTATTCCTGGTCAGAGATGTACTTAGAAGTTAGCACATACAAGCTGGTTGGCAAATTCTGCTGACATTGTGCTTGTGAAACAGATTGACTTGCAAGCTGCTTCAGCTGTATTTTGCATCATTTCAGTGCTGCTTTATTAAGAAATGCTAAGCTTTTAGCATGTATTTCAGTGGCAAGGCCCTTTGAAATCTACTTTCTATTGCCTAAAATGGTCAAATTTCATTCCTATAACTCTGGGCAACACACTTCTGCAAAGTTGACAACAGACTGATTATCTTCTTTGTAAGATTAAATTGGCAGAGGAATGAGAAAAAAAATAAGGTTTTAAGTCTTAACTTCAATAATCATTTAAACTTGTTTGACACAAAATGATGACAAGAATGTATTTTATGGACCTTTTCACTGTTCTTGCAAATGTTTTGCCCTATGGTTGTATTCAGTGCAACAGTGAGCTAATAAGTTTCCGTTCTGCATTTCCCCAAATGCTGCAAATGGATGATATGGTTTGGCATGAGCCCAGCTTTCTCTAAACTTCTCCATTTTGTGTAGGCTTATTCCATAGCAGAGAACATTTAGTTGCAACACAATGCTGTGAGAACAAGCAAAATGTTACGCAAGTGAAAGCTGTTTGTCCTGAACTTTAGAGATTAGTTTCCTAAATAAGCACTGTATTATTTCCCCATCAGTTGTCTACACTGAATGACATTAGGTAACTATCAAATCTCCATGTAATGGCATTCTGCCACTCAGATGGGGGAAAACATGACACGTTACCATTATCTCTGCTCTTCAGGATTTCATGAGACAGGGCTGTGAGAAAGGGGACAACTATTTAAGAGTAAGAAGTCAGAACAACATTTCCTAATAGGGTCCTATATGAGAGCCTAGAAGAACTGAAGTTTTAACATTATTAGTTACTAGTCCTGACGTTTTTTTTCATTTTCCCCCACAGGGAGCGGGCAGATACAGCTATGGCAGTTCCTGCTGGAGCTCCTCTCAGACAGCTCCAACTCCAACTGCATCACCTGGGAGGGCACCAACGGGGAGTTCAAGATGACCGACCCTGACGAAGTGGCTCGGCGCTGGGGGGAGAGGAAAAGCAAGCCTAACATGAACTATGACAAACTCAGCCGTGCACTTCGCTACTACTATGATAAAAATATTATGACTAAGGTTCATGGTAAGCGCTACGCCTACAAATTTGACTTCCACGGAATCGCTCAGGCTCTCCAGCCTCACCCCCCAGAGTCATCCATGTACAAATACCCATCAGACCTCCCCTACATGAGCTCTTACCATGCACATCCTCAGAAGATGAACTTCGTAGCCCCTCACCCCCCTGCTTTGCCTGTAACATCGTCCAGCTTTTTTGCTGCCCCTAATCCGTACTGGAATTCACCAACTGGAGGTATCTATCCCAATACCAGGCTGCCAGCTGCTCATATGCCTTCTCATCTTGGCACCTACTACTAAGTGGAGAAAAAAGAAACATCAGAAAAAGCAAACAAAGACCCTTCTCGCTGGGATACAGTCCCTGATGAATTGCAATGAACTCTATTGGAGTCCATGAATTAAAAGTGCCTAAAGAGACAAGTGAAGGTTTGGCTGGGAAAAAAAAAAAACAACATTAAAAAAATAAGACTCTTTGTAGTAGGGATTTAAAGGAGATATTCAAGAAGTATTAAGATACTAAAATGTAATGTATATGGGCATCGACTCTGTGGACCAAACAACAATAGACTATTGTAGGTAAAAGCATGAAATGATAAGGAAAACCTACGAAAGCTAGTGGTCTTAAAAAGTTGATAAGCTTATGTGTAAAGTTTGATACCTTGCTAGTGCAAAACTGGGACAATACTACAGCAATATAAGGATAAGTCTATAGTGACCTAACATACAATATATGAATTATTACAAAAGAGGGAGGGGAAAGGGAAAAACAAGGGAAAAAAACCCTACCTGTATTTAAGTAGAAACATATCAACAGAAGAGATTGGTTTAGTATGGAAGCTGATTTGTGATATAACAGCATTGTTTTAGTTAAAATCAAATGAGTTCCATTCATGAGAGTGTTATCAGCTACTCAAACTGTGAAGACAACCCAGACTTTAAGATTGCTTGACAGTATTACAGGAACCCTGAGCCAAACATTGGAAATGAAAATGTGCTGAAGGGCAAGTGTATGATTGTAAATCAGAGGCCTGCACCTGACAGAGGAAGCAGAAAGGAGAAAGAGGAGGACGAAAGTGGTGAGAATGTGAGAAAAGAAACTTCTTTACCAGTTAAGACTGAAAACTTAGTAGCATTGGGACTATGAAGAAACACTTGTTTGGACTTGTGAAACATATTGCTCAGTATCATACCATTCCCAGTATTACAGGAGGAATAGACTTGATTTTATAGTAATAAAAAAAAAAAGGTGGAAAAAGGGAAAAGCAGAAGAATTCAGAAATCAAAATATGCATCTCTTTTTTAAAAAAAGTAAAACTGGAATTGTGTCTGATATTTAAAAGTTACCAGTTAGAACCTCATTGTTATCAAGGGAGTTTGTTTTCTGTTGGTGAAAGCGAGAGACAACCCCTCACTGCCAAAATCAGAAATCATCTAAGTATTTTTGTTAGGCGGGCGCCAGTTTTTGTTTATCGAGTCGCGAACGCTGTGCGTTTGTCAGAATGAAGTATACAAGTCAATGTTATTTTTTCCTTTTTATATAATTATTATATAACTTATGCATTTATACACTACGAGTTGATCTCGGCCAACCAAAGACACAAAAAAGGGACAATCAAAAATATTGTGGCCTTGAATTTTAACTCTGTATGCTTAATGTTTACATTATGAACATATTAGTACTTAGAATGCAGAATGTATGTAATAAAATAAGCTTGGCCTAGCATGGCAATTCAGATTGACACTGTAGTTTGCATTTCCATTTTTAGTGCCTGACATGCCTATCAGATCTCCTACTCAACATGTTAAAATATGCTAGGCATTTTGTTTTAAAAATCTGTTTTATGAAATCTGGCAGTCATTAAAGTATAGGACCAAATAGGAATGCTTAAAGTTCAAAGTGGACAGGTGCTGTGTATCTTCTTTTCCAGACAGTTCTGCTGAAATACTTGCTGCCCTTCTTTAACAGTGCCTTGCCATTCCTGTCCTGAGCTCCTTTTGCCCAGAGATTGCAACCATGCCCAATTCTTTGATAACTTCATGGCCAAGTTTGAAAATGAAGTCTAAAGGAGGCCTCTAAGGAAGAATAGTGATACCCAGAAATTATCTTGTGTTGCCATAAGATTATGCAGCATATCTTAGCCTGAGATGTATTTTCATACCGAATCGTATGTTCAATTACCATGCCCCCTTGCTATTAATACATACTGTATCGTTATTAGTAAATAAAGTGAATAATGAATAACTTCCATTATTCCTCACTTTAGAATGGAGTGTATGGTAGCTTGTTAATTTCTCATTGCAGTCCATCCTGGCTGTTTACAAAGGGCAGGATATTTTCTTCCTTTTCTAGATTTAGAGGCTTCCCATACTGTACCCTGGGCCCCAAAACTACATCTGGTGCCTAATGGCATGACTCCATTTTTTTTGCAACACGGGCTGAAGAACTGGTCTGGAAAATCAGCACTGACGTTTATGAGTGGCTCTCCACAGCAGGCAGCATTTTACTGCAGAGACCCCAGACAGCTCAGACCTCCGACTGCATCCCTGTTTTTTGCTGTTCTTTTGTCTCTTTTTTCAGACAAAATGGGTGTGGTTTCCAGTTTTGTTGCAAATGTTCTGCATATCCGTTCTGTGGAGCATTAATTGGTGCTGTGCAACAGGACCTTTCTTGCCAGGCTCCCGCATTATGAGTGTCTTGGTGGCACTTTATAAGCACAGGATTATATTACTGTGTTTGAGACCTGATCAGTGGCATCATAAGCCTTGTGATAGTTTGGGAAATAAGCACTGTAGGGTCTATATCTTTAAAAAAATAAAAACTTGTGGAAAGGCTGGAAAAACTGAACTCTTGGAAAAGGTTAGTCACTATTTTAGAAAGTTACAGCAGGCACACCAACATGCTGACTATCAGAATAATAGTTTGCCTTTCAGTGGAAATACCTCTACACATGTTTACTATCTACTTCATGTGTACTTCCAATTCAAAAACGGTAAGTGTCTTGTTGAACCACCTTTTAATTAAACACTTAAAAATCCAGATAAAACAACCATCTTTGTTTAGATTGGCAAGGACATGCCTGGAGGCCTCCAAAGCATCCTCAGTGCTCACAGAGCTGCTTGCAGGATTTCCAGATTGTGTTGCCTGGCTACTATCATGTGCAATGAACAACATCCTGACATTAAAAGAAAGGGTCCAAATCTTGGGACAGGAATGGTGTCACGGCAGATGGTGTGATGCAGACCCCTCATGATAAAGAGCAAAATCCTCCCATGGGTAGCTCAGGGGCGAACCAATCACCCGTCTTAGAAGTACACCTTTCCCCAGGACCAGCTCACAGTTTTACAGGAGCCTTGGAAAACCTGAATTTTGCAACCCTAAGGATGAAGAGGAGAGTGAAAGACGGAGAGACCCTACTGCTGCTGCATTGAAATGGGTGGCTTTGCTACTTTGCAGGGCCTTTCTACTCCAGGGGCAGCAGCTGCCCCACTGGGTCTTCCTGCTGGAGGGCAAGGACCAACCCAGTGTCTCAGGGCACTGGCAGAGGTAAAACAGACAGTGGACCCATGGTAGTGTTTCTGCTGCTTACTGGCTGCTACCCAATCTGGCCCTGCCAGTAGATGCCAGGAAGACTGGAAGGAGGCCAGAGTTTTAGGGGCTGGTTCCTGTTGCAGACCATGACAAGTGATGGACCCAGTACAGATAAAATGCTCAGGGAAGATGAGCAACTCTATGTCCATACCATGAGAGACATTCATGTGAGGCTCAGCCAGGCCCCAAGAGCTTAGCTGTGCATGCCATCTCTTTGCCATTTAAACACCTGGACGCATGGACAACATGGCCCTGATGAGCCCACATTTGCACAAGTTGGTCACATTTATAAGTCTCATACCTTATTACAGCACACTGAGGACTGCTTTGAAAGTAGAAGCTTTGTTTTTCCTGAAATTCAGAGATATACATGGGTGCTTATCTTTCATCAAGACATACACATCTGCCTGAGAAGCTACACCGTAACACGGGAAATGAAGGTGAGAAAAGTTCTAAAAGTTAAATTAGGAAGCTCAAATTTCACTGTTCTCAATATGTCCCCTGATATAAAATTGGTTTTGGTGAGTATATACAAAATACTTTTGAAGGATGTATTTTACAAGGCTTGTATTGTGAGTCTTAATGGACTCAGAGAGAGATTAGGACAGCACAGCACCAACTGTACTGAACTCTTTCATTCCGCACACTTTCCACATTCAGAAGACTCCAGATTGGTTACCTCAAACACTACATGCTTTTTAAACTGCCCACTTCTTGCTCTGATTGTTTCTTATACCAGAATTGTTATTTACAGATGCATTAAAAGAAGGTAAGAAAACCACTATACCTTATACTATATGCTTTATGATCCCATGATCTTACTCTGTGGTGTCTTTTCAAGTTTTGGTCACATCAGATAAATGGCCCTGAGGATAGTCCTTGCTTACCTAAATCACTAGTAAGTCAGATTGGCACCTCATCCATCCAAAGGATTCAGGTAACTCTTACCTGAATTTTAACTGCCTCCTGATGCCACACAAGTGTTTCATTCCCTATTTGGTCTGTGGAGGGACCCTTCAGATATCTTCACAGCAGAAACTGCCTGCCATCGTGACCTTACTTAAGGAGATGAGGTGCTACCGTGGAGCCTCACTGAAGGTGTCACATCCCTCACTGTGCTGGGCTGTTAAAAGAGCCCTTTCTCGACAGAGCTCTGCTAAGAGCTCACAGCCCTTACAGTTCAGAGAAGGCTACCCTCTAGCACTTGTCATTACACCAAGGGAGGCAAGGGCTAAGAAGTCCATGAAGCCTCCCCCTTGGTTAATTAACACTATGGCCCTCCCTCCATAATGATGACTGCATATGCACTCAACAGGTCAAGGAATGACGCTCTTGGCTATGCACTCCCTCACTCCTCTCACTCTCTGGTAATGTCTTGACCTCTGTGCAGACCACACGAGAGGGTCACACCAGGAATTTGGCAAGAGAAAACATGAAAATGAAGTCTGGGTAAGCCACACCATTTTCAGCAAGCAGATGAGGTTGCTCGGAAGGCTGTCCTGGCTCCCTACTTGTTTCCAGGCTTCAGCTGCAACCTCTGAAGTGGTTTTGCGCCGCCGCTGCTCTCTGGGTGCTGTGACCACTCCTTCAAGGCACTGGCAGCTGAGACTACATCAGAGGCACAACCCAATAAGACCTTGTTGAAGAAGGGAGACTATTTGGTGAGCTGGTTAATGAGGATATTAGGCCAACTGGAATGTGGAAAATTGTTTCAAAACTTAATGGCTGTCACTGTTTAAAAAGGTGCATATTTTCCAGAAGACTGAAGAAAACAGCCAGGATGGTTAGGCTAGGAATTGCCCTGAGTTGTACTTTTAAATGAGTGGAGTGAGGACTTCTCAAAATTGGGCTCGGAAAATTTCTTGGGTTGTGTACCAGAATATTGGGCCATATATATTTTAGAAAAAAATAAGGGGCAGAAGATGTACAGTCCTAGAAGAAGTAGGGAGAAAGGCTACTTGAGAAACCCCATCTATGTCTCTCACTATTATGGGACTTTTTTTTCTATTGTATACTTAGTGATGTTTTTTTACCCTTCTTCTCATTTGAAAAGGTCTCAGCTTCAGGGTATTTCCACCCATTCCCTTAACACAGAGGTTAATACATGTCATCATCAAAGTTTTTTGGTGTTCCTGCTATTTTTGTATTTTGCAATTTCTTCTGATTA